AGCGTGAAATGGCAACGAAGCAAAATGGCTGACTTCCTGTCAAATTTGGGTATAGTTCTTTGAGACTATTTTGTAATTCCTGCTAGGATAGACAAGTCTACCCAATTTTGTGTCCTTCGGCAGAACTGTTGTCAAGCACAATTTTTTACGAACGTTCGCAGGGGTGCAAAATGGCTGCTTCCCTTCGAATAGGCCGACTTCCTGTTAAATTTCAGCCAAAGGTACTTCAGAATTCTACGTGTGATGGCCAATTCCATTTGACGTGGATTAACCAATACTTGGGATTATACTTTTTTCGCCAACCTTCAAAAGGTGCGACTGAATGCAAGAGTTGCTTAAAAATCAAAATTTCCGAATTGCTGTTTCATTTGGCCACCCAACTTTGTGATGATCTTGTACTCTGAAATCCTGAAATACTTGGGTCACCAGAATAAACAAGCTTGCAAACTTTGGTGAATTTCCAGGCATGTCGGGGCTCCCCAAAAGTCAACTCATTCGTCAAGAAGAATAAATCCAAGACTTGTTTGTAGCGGGTCTGATTTTGATCGTTTTTTAACACGACAGCATTATAATCAATGCAGTCAATGTGTGCGGTGTAATGCTGCAGTGTTCATTTCATGGCTACGCAGTCCTCCTGCAGTCTGACAAATGATCAAGCCAGTTAGCATGGCAACATGTCTGCGTGGCAGCATTTTACAAGACGAGGCGCGACAAAAACAACACCACTCAGCGGCGCATTTCATCCGCCAGTGAGCACCACGAGTCCATGATATGCGCTTGGCGGCATGCTCCTCCCACTCCAACGCACATGCGAGGCCTCTACACTTGCTCGAGAAAACCAGCTGCAGACTGGCTCAGTCTTTGCATGTGCTCTTCTGCTTTGATGAGAGGTGGTGTGTAATTTCAGAAAGGTATTTGAGTAAAATGGTGATGTTATCTGGGTTTGGCGAAATTCACAATTCAAAAGTGTTAGAAGATGAATGCCAATTCATATTCAGAGGTTTAAAAAAAAAAAAAAAGCTTCACAACTAAGCGTCACCCAATGATCTATTATAGCACCGTCTGATTGGAGCTAATTTAAAAAAAAAAGTAAGAGCTTGTCAAATTACAAGCCAAGGAATTAGCCGTAAATGGCTGCTTCAATTGCGAATTACAGACTTGTGTTCAATTTTGTGCATGGATTTTTGAATTTTTTTTTTTTTTTCCACGCGTCCCGTTTTAGAAATGTCCATCCAGTGACTTTTGTGTCCTTATGCGAAACTCGCGCTAATTTTTTTTCAAATTTACAAGTGTTGCGCAAAGGATTGTGAAAGGGCCGCTTCAAGCCAAGATGGCCGACTTTCTGCTTTATTCCAGGCATGGGTCCTTGAGACCATTTCGTGCGCTCTGTTGTTATTGATGTATCCACCTAAAACAATATGACACCTAATGTGAAATAAAATGAAAACATGTTTGATTTGGTCAATAAGCATGCAATTTTTTTTTCTCTCCCTCACGATTAAATGATTTTTCTTATTCAGACTCTTATGTAATTGTCCCTTTGTCAATGGGCTATTCTCCAATTTAAGAGGCTTATAGTCTGGCGGCTATATTATCCTTGTGCAGCATCCAGGTTACACTGTACACACATATAGGAGGAAGGCTTGAGCAAGATATTAATGATAAAGATGACATTCCAGTGTACACGGATGGACACAGATCCTTTTATGCTACCAGTTAATGAGCAAATTTAGAATTTGGGCTAATAAATCACTCCAGTTTACTCGATGTAACCATTCATCTCAATCAACCGATAAAACGAGAGGCGCAACCCAGGAAACTCACCACACGTTATCTTTGTAATATTTCGGCGCGGATAATGATATCATTACACAGTGATAAATGAGAGCTTGTGTGTGGAGAAAGAAAAACAAAACATCTTAAATTAATTGCGATTTGTCTGGGATGGAAAAATGGGCAAACATCTACGAGATTCCGATTGGCATGACTGTGACTGCACTGTACCAGGAGCAATATAAATGCAAATGTATCAAAGTATCGATATTTTGTCCCACATCAAATACAAAAGCTAATGTTCCAAAGGTGAGTATCGCATCGTTGAATATATCGCACCGTCAATGTAACCCGAAAAAAGTTCAAAGTTAAATACAACTGAACTATACTTAAGTGTACTGCCCTGGATTAAATACAAATCTAAGGCACTGTAATGTGATGCACACACAATTCAGAGATTTAATTAAAAAGAAAGTCATTTTTCCCATAACAATTAGGGCTGGGCGAGTACGGAAAAAAATAATCCGAATTTTGATTGACATTGACATCATGATTAATAAAACAAATAATCATTTATTTCAAAACTTTGTATTCATTCATCTTCCAAAACTAAACTACCAAACACTCGCATTCATCCCCTGCACGCTGAGCACTATTTTTTTTTGTACAAAATAACCTTGTAAATATCATGTGAAATTCGAGGCTCTTGCATTTTCATTGTGCGACAGACACACCTTTGTTGCATCCAAACATTTTCTGCATTGCATCATTGCACACATTCACACGTTTTCTGCATTCCATATTGTTCACAATCAAACCGTGAATAAGCATCTCCCTTATCTTTTTAGCGGATTTCTTATATCGTATATCTTATATTGTTGACCATGTCATGGTGAGTGATTTAAAAAAAAAAAAAAGCAATATCACATGAGAAGTATTGAAACGGATTCACTTACTGGTTCGGTGAGTTCATTAGATATTGTACTTTCCTAAAATGAAAAAAATTGGAACTGTTGTGTCGTTAATTTGCACGTATCTGCATCCTATTCTTTCAAAAAATGAAGACGGACTATAAAAACTATAATACACTTTTTTTTTTTATCGTATTGTAGACATTGAGAATCTTTCTGCCATTGAAGAATTTACTGCTTACAGTTTTTTTGCCTTTCACTTTAACTGGCATTGAATGTGTTCCTGTTCACACAGAAGAAAAGCATGTTTATGTTTTGCATTTTGTTCCCTTCCTGCACCGAATGTGAACTGGACCGTGACTGTAAAACCAAAGTAGGTAACAGCCAAGCATTTTGTGTGGGGCTTTTTTTTTTTGCCACTATTAAATCAGAAAAACTCAACACACTTGGAGACAGTGATGCCACATAAAATAATTGCGAAGCTGATTCACCATTTGAATTTTGCTGTAGAACCGAACATCAATTTGCTACGGGGAAAAAAAAGTTATTCATACCAATCTGGGTATTTTTTAGCAAAGTCTCTCATGTCCTCCTTGTTCTGAGGCGTCAACCAGTTTGATAGCGATAAGCAGCGCGATAGAAGATCCCTGCCGTGGTCCAACAGGCAAGCGAGGCTCCTTGCGGGGTTGAAGTCGGAGAAAGCAGAGGGATAAAAGTCTCAAGACGATGTAGAGAGAGGTTCAGATTGTGTTTAGTAATTGTGGATATGTCCATTTAAAAATATGTACGTATTTACAAGTCAAAAACTACATAAAATGGCTGCCAATAGCCAAACTACATGCCAGCTCCTTGCATTTCCAGTGTATATTTTTCTATATCATGTAATTACATTTAAGGGTGGTGTTGTGAGGCAAATTTCAAATTATGTCTATGTGCTTCGGGATCATAATTGGCGGTGTATTTGTGTTGAACTCAAAATACAGGCAATTCTAAACGTTATGATGGAGACATCCATTATTTGCACTTACAAGAGGGTCACCATCTATCGGATTCCTTTTGTTAGTGTTTGGAAAACGAGGTTTTTGTTCATTACGTTTTTTTGATTATTTAAAACGCTTGAGAGATTATTTTGCTTGAATTATGGCATATATGAGCACATTTAAACACACTGAGAACAGATCAAGATGGCCATGCTGTTTGAGACCAATTTCCAGCATTGGTGATTTTTATTGCCTCTCAAGTGACCGTTTAGTGTGCAGGTAGACGTTTTGTGTGAGTGGTAGCCATGTAAAAAAAAGACAGGCGGCTTTTGTATCAGGAGGCAACAACACACCCCCAACATGTCACAGTCAGGCTGGACTGACTGGCTAGGAGGATTCTGGCTATTCAAACCACACTCCTGTTGTTCAATAACTTCTTCTAATTTATCGAAACGACATATAATTTGCCATTTTATTCATAGGTAAGCACAATCCCCAAACACAAACGCAGGGCTATGATCCTAAGCCTTAGGATGTCCACTGAGTTGTCATGACGCTATGTAATAAGATTCCAATTACAGCTAGCATGTTATATGGTCGATTATTTTATTTTATTTTTTGTTGTGTGTGAGGGCAAAACAAGCCCAGCTCACAGAGACAAAAGCCCCACCATCACCGCAGACCCTCACCAGTGTACCCCCTCCTTACCCCCCGCAACCCTCCTCCCTCCTTCAGATCCCCAGCTAGGAAGCTAACTGTAGCTCAGTTAGCTCCACTACTTCAACCCAGCCGGGGGACATTTCAGCCCCTTACCGGCCGGCCATGCTTAGACCCTCTAGTTATGGTAGGTGCGAATGTATACAAATGTCCATACGTGGCACTCGTACGTAAGAAGACGTGAAAATACGTTTCCCCACACGTACGTTACGTCAGTTTAGCTCGGCGCTCGCATAAGGCTAACAGCAACTAGCACGATTCCGCCTCGCCGTCCGCGGGATAAACAACACGCAGCGCACTGCCTTACCTTTTACGTTGGCCGCCGTCTACACATCCGCGGGTGGCTCGACTCGAAACCGTTATTCGTTTGTTCGTCCCCCCCCCACCCCAACCCCCCCCCCTTCTAAAAGGGGGAAAAGCTCGGACGTTAACCGTAGCCTACGGCAGTGTGACGTTCATCGCCGCCTTTTGAAAACATCGCAGCCCCTTAGTTCGTTCTCCTCCTCTCCAGCCGAGAAAAGACCAGCATAAACACGCCAACGGCCCGTTTTGATTGGCCTGAGAAATACACGTGACGCAGCTTGGTCCTTCTGATTGGTCTGTGAGAAGCCATGTGATCCAGCCCCAGTTTACACCGAGTTTAAAAGGTTGTCCAGCTGGGGCTCTGAGTCGGCTGGCCTACGTCCTCCCTGGTGTTGATGGCAGTGCAATATGCACGAAGGTCATTTAATAGCATTTACTCGGCGTAAAACGTTTGGCTGGTAAGAACAATCGCCATGCTGTTACGTTGTGATAGTTTTAAAGGTGTAAATGTGCCTTTTTAGGGAAAGGGGGGGAGAAAGGAAGCATATTGACGTCATTGGTGTTACCATGGAGAACCTTCTGGAAAAAAAAATCTATAAACTGTCCTTTATACTCTCCCTCGCAATTTATACTAAACGCTATCTCTCTTCTGTCAAAGGACCGAGAAGCCCATTTTTTTCGTGTCGAATCTGTTGCGCAGTGATATTTATATCACGCGCATGCGCAGGTTCTTATTTGTGGCTTTTTGCGCATGCGCGAACACTTCGACACTGACATGTTGCGAAGCAGGCTTTCGAAGTGGGCGGGGGGAAATGGCTCCCTCTCCCCGGCCAGACACGAGAGCGCCACCGGGGCCAATGACGAAAGTGACAGCGGCGTGTGTGACAAAAGGCGTTATCACACAATGGCTCGCCTTCATTCATGTTTTTTTCCTCCTTTGTATTTGTTAAAGGAAGGACGCTGGCTCGGAACTGGTTGTTCCCATTCATTGGGTGAGCCAAACGTAGGTATGCATTTTAATTACAGGCACAGTGAATAATGGCAAACAACTTGTGTCAAGAACAGTGGATTGAAAAGCAAAATTGGAAGGCGCAAATTGAGCAAAGGATGTAAAATAAAAAGCATGTCTTAAAGAAGGGAGATAAAGAAAGAAAATTAAGGGGGTTAGGGGGACAGGTGTAAGAGGTAGCGTGGAAGGCTGTGTCGAAAAAAGCAAGCCAGCTGTGGAAAGTCAGAAATGAAAGAAGCAGGTCTGAGGTGGAAGGAAAAAAGGCTGAAACGTAGTTTGAAGTAAAGGATGAATGATGAGAGCATGAATGAATAAAAATCATGTTTGAGGTAAGGAAGGCAAGAAGAAGTCAGACAGGATGTGCAGAAAAGTAGGTAGGATAGATGAAAATAAAAAGCAATCCTGAGGATGGAAACAAGGAAAACACTTGCAATAAAATTAAAGTGCATACTCACTTTAAGACCACCCTATATATTGTAGTATGCTAGTGTGATTTATTTCTGTTTGCTGAGTTTTTGTTTTGCTGATTTAATGACATCACATCAGTCAGACAACAAAGTAGCATATGGTCGCTGAAATAAAACTGCACAGGTACAGTCATTTAATTTATTTACATAATATGTTCCCATCAAACAAGACTATCATCTTGTTTTGAACAACAAAGCAACAAGTCTACTACAGGTCCGGCCTCACGCCAAAGCCAGGCCCTTTTGGAGGTTCGGTCAATGAGGTCAGTCCACCGGCAGGCTCACACGAGAAACGGCCACTTCTACAAAAAGAAATACAGTACAATAAATACATAAATAAATAAGGTCACTTTGTCAGGGTAAATAGATACGATAAGAGTGTGGAGTCGACCTGGGCCCTGGAGGCGGGACTCTTCCTGCTTGGAGCTCATCAATAATATGCTCTATGTCCTTTGGGGTGAGGTCCTCCTGGGGAAAAAAAAAAGCACACTGCTAGTGGAGCAGACCTATGCCAAGGCTAAGCTGTTATTATTACAGTATTTTTTTTTTTTGTTAATCACATTTTTTTTGCAGGTCATTTAACTATTTTGTAGAGAAAGCTGTGAATGGATGAAGACTTTCATTCCAGGGTGGACCGTTTCGATCATGTTGAGTTATTTAACCACCTGATCATTTTTAGAAATGCACTTTTTTTAACCACAAATTAATCATATTTAATGTTTAATTTGCAATATGACGCAAAACCAAATCAACTCAAAAGTTTAGTCTTGTCTTTCAACAACAGTACTCACGCTCACGTACTCACGTCAGCTTTACAGATGCCATGTTTGCTGGGCACTTTATAACATAATCATGTACCATAACACAAAAATAAATCCACTCAAAAACTTTGACCAACGTTCCCCTCATGTTCTTTATATTCGCAAGTAAATCTTAGCTTCACAGGGCAGGTGATGTGTGTTTGTGTGGCTGGGAGAAGTCGACTTCATGGTTGTGTATTGCTCATAAATCACACGCTTGTGATATAAACTGAGAGATTAAACACATTGTTACATTGCGGTGAAATAAGGTGTGTCAAATGAAATATAGCGGCAACACGTGCATGACATTTGCAAAGAAATTGTGTTAGACATCTCTGCCTTGCTTTTACGCCATCGTGTGGCTGATGAGTCCAAAATCTTTCAAATCGGTATGTAAAGGGAGGTACTCACAAATTGAAAAATGTTACCGTGCCTCTCCCCTGCTACCCAAAAGAGGACAACGGCAACAGATATCCAAGACATTGTGGAGCCATTTTTTTTTTGTCTGGAGTTGCGATGTTTTGTTGTATGCCTATTTATTATACTGCCCCCTGGTGGACGGGGTACACACATCAGAAAATTATGATTCTAATGATCTAATTGGTGCGGCCCGGAGGTTGACTGGTTAGCGCGTCACCATTACAGTGTAGAGGTGCAGGGTTCGATTCCGGCTCCGGCCTTCCAGTGTGTTCATGTTTATGTTCTCGTCGTGCCTGCGTGGGTTTTTTTCTGGGTGCACCGGTTTCCTCCCACATTCCAAAAACATGCATGGCAGGTAAATGGAACACTCTAAATTGTCCCAAGGTGTGAGTGTGAACGTGGAAGGTTGTTTGTCTATGTGTGCACTGCAATTGGCTGTCGAACCAGTTCAGGGTGTCCCCCCGCCTACTGCCCGAAGACAGCTGGGGTAGGCTCCAGCATGCCCTGTGACCCTTGTGAGGATAAATGGATCAGCTCATGCATGGATGGATGGATGATAATTGCGTTATCACTGTAATTTTCTTTTCTGACTGAGAAAAACACATTACCAAAATTTTTGTTGGGTGTTTTCTTTTTTGGGAGCTCAAAATGATGATGGACAGTTGTAATCATTTTAATTTGGGATATGCATGTTGCAAGTGTTTTCAGGGAACAACTTAAACTTGTACGTAAAGAAGGCAATACTGTATTTCGAAGTGGGGCTGCTCTTTGAGGTAATGTGGTTTCTTTAGAGTGGGTTTTGCACCAACAATTTACGCTGTGACACTGGTAACAAATGGTCAGTTTCTAAATAGACGTGGCACTCACATAATAGTTGTCGTTGATCTGCACCATGGGCGCGTTGACACAGGCGCCGAGGCATTCCACTTCGATTAGCGTAAACATCTTGTCCGCCGTCGTCTCGCCGACCTTGATACCTGCGGTCACAACACACAAACACCCACTTCTTTAATTAATGACAACGCAAGCGAGCAAAAATGCGTCGTCGAGTTGGTTCACGCTTTGCCAAGTGTTGAGTGCACTGGTGCGTCTGGCTGTTTTATGGGTCTCCCTGCATTTAAAAAACACCTGAAAGGTGCATCAGCAGCTGTGGCTCTCTGCTCCCATGATAGTTCCACCCATGAAAAAAAATTAAATAAAATCCACACTGTAGCAGAGCTATCGTACATGAAACGCAATCCAGCGGGTTAACAAAAGTCTAAAACTCAGACTATCTATGCATCACTGCGTTTAAAAAGGTAATAAAATGGCAAATAGGAAAGTAGTCGTTGATATTTTGACAGGTTACGAAGCAGCAAGGTGTACGTCAGCGCACTCTCATTTAGGTTACCTTTTCAAAATCATCCATAAGTAATTTTCAAGGTGATACACACTTCAAATAAAGTATTTTTTGATCACAGTATTTGGTATATCTCAGTTTAAAACTATGCATGTATGCACATTACATCCCCAAAAAACACTTCCCTTGTTTATTTCCATGCTCCTCAATAGCAAGACCCTCTCTGCTCTCTTGGCCGTCCTTGCTCACCCAGTTTGTTCTTGATAGCCTCCAGGATGCTGTCCGAGTTGCACAGCATGCACGGCGTGGTGGTGCAGATCTGGATGAAGTACTTGCCCACAGGCTGGCGCAGGAACATGGTATAGAAGGTGGCCACCTCGTACACCCTCATCGGAGGGATCTCAAGCACCTCGGCCACCTGACAGACAACATGGCTGTTGAAACGGCCTCCCGTTTTGTTTTCTTTCTCATGACTCTCGTGGAAAAATTCACCTTGTTCATGACGCTGACGGGGAGCCACCCGTGTTGCCTCTGGGCCAAATCCAATACGGGGATGGTAGCGGCTTGCTTGTGGCCAACGGGGTACATTGAAATGATAGCTTCGATTCTCTACGGACAAAACAACATGCCTGAGGGTGATGACGCAAATGGCGAATAAAAGGCAACCGACAAACTCTGCTGTGCTGTTTTTTGTTGTTTTTTTACACATCTCATATTGCATTGCAGCATGGTCACAAACATCCAGTTCCATTTTGAAGCCAATAACATCTCTGTATAAAAGGGCAATTCGAATTCCCAATAGTGTGCTAGCATCATTCAAAAACAAGCTTTTTACTTTTGAGAATTTTGTGAATTTTAGAACCTTGAAATTGTCCTTTTACTGTTTAAAACGGTTGTGTGTCAGCATTGTTAACTGGTCTCGTGGTGAGGTATCAGAGCTCTCTGAAACCGACCACAAGAGCCTATGTTCAAAACAACTTCTGGACAGTCTAGCTTCTGCTATCAGATAGTTAAATTGGGGAACACTCTCCCAGGTGAACGTAAATTGGTGACTAATATAAATGTCTTGAACAAAAAAAAAAAAAAACTGAAACGTGGCTGACGTCGGGCCAAATTTGCTCTGACTGAGTTAGACACACTTGTTAGCATTAAATGAAACATATATTTTTTGTAACACTATTGCACATTTGTAAATTGATGTTTGATTTTAATAGTTTTACTTTTTGTGTGACTGTCATATCTGCCTAGGGGACTGCCAATGAAAGCTAGCTTAATTTGGCTAACTCGGGCAAATTTACATTATATAATGTTGATTAATTGTGCATTGTCCTTTTTTAAATAAGCAAATGAGGCTTGTGAGCTGTTATAAAAATAACAATTACAATAACTAGTGTGTGTGAACACGCAGCTATTATTCAGTTACATGAATGGCAGCAGGAAAATAGACAGGCTCATTGGACCTTCTGCAATTAGTAGAAGAGCATCTCATTGTTCTGCCTGTCAAACTGTTGTATGTTGCTGGCAAAGATGAATAAAGATACTGGACATTATTTGTTGTAAATGAATAATACTTTTCCAAACTATTTGACTGAAATTGACAGACCACAACAAAGTGGTTGGGAATCACTGCCGCATGATACTCTGTGAACCAACAAAGCGCAGCTTCCGGCTCGGAGACGACGTGTCGAGCAGTCTGCATTTGGTGGCGAGCAGAGGGTTAAATTCGCAAATACGGCGGTTCATTTGCAGTTGGTATGCAGTGATGAAATGCTGCTTGCACCAGAGAAAATATACTCAAGTCTTTATGGGCGCTTGCTGTAAGTGGGGCATGTGGTGAAATGAAGCCAGTAGTAGCTTTGCACAAGCCTGGACGCAGTGGGGTGAAAATCTGAATCCTGGACAAAGTTTGTACGGGCATCTGCAATAATGGCACAAAAAGTTGCTACGTTTGTTGTTTGTTGCTTACTGTGTTAAGGGGGAAAAAAACCACTAGGTTTGCAACACTGAGTAGCCCTTGCCTTGCCACAACCCCCTGGCGCTGCCCGCAGTCCTTATTGTCACGAGATTTATACTCTGCATTTGCATGTGAACTCCCCCCGACCCCCCAAAAAATATGATTTGTAGTGGACATTAAGTGTGCTGTCATTCTTTATGCTTTAGGAATTTTGATGGAGGAATGTCAAGAAACCTTTTTATAAAGACACCTAAAATAGTGTTACATTTTTTTAACGGGGGTGGGGGGGGGGGATTACATGTTTTGGTGGAGTAACTTTGATGGATCGTAGCAGTAGCGCAACGCATGCCAATTCAGTAGTTGGGATTCCAGTTACATGTAGCAAGTGTTTACCTTCTTGTTCTCCTCTGTGAACTCGAACGGCGTGTCGGCATTATTGTCCGGCGTGTCTCTGTGCTGAAAAGAGAGAAGACGGCACATCCGTTAACATGTGGAAAAGTACACCACAACCTCCAGAGTGGAACACAATCTGTTCCGGGATGTTTTTCTTCATAAGTGTCTCCCATGGGAAATAATGTAAAGCCAATTAATTGTTTCCATAACGTATTTCTTTAATTGCACAGACAGTTTTAACCCTACAGAAAATGTTTTTTTTTTTTTTTTTTTCCATTTGGAGCAATTTTTTCTAGACATGTTGAACAGACGTTTCTGTCAAGGGACAGTGAAACCATGGCATGTTTCCATTGTGCTGCTCCACCGTTTCCATATCGCAGGCAACAAGCTCACAGGAGATACGAGTGGAAACTTGCAACCTTTTGGGGATTTGCTCCATTATCATTTAATCCGTCAAGGAAATATCGAGATGTCATCAGCGGGCATGGAAAGAACTGACATCACAAATGGGTTTGGGTTTTTTTCCTTTCCTTTTTTTTGTGTGAATGCGAGCAAAATTCAGTCAACAGCGCCAGCAGTTAGAAAAAAAAAGCCAATTACACCAGTTTCACTGATTGGCACTAAATTGAGTGTGCATGTCTATCATGACAGGATGTCAGAAAAAAATCGAGAGGACCCATGCGCAGAAATTCAACAGGAAAGCATCCATTTGTTTGAAGCAGCCATTTTGCAGACAGTTGTATGCATCCCATTGAAAGTTAGCTAAAATTATCACTCGACACTAATTTAACCCACTAATACAAAATTGGGTGGACATGCTGGTAAGTTATGATATCATTTATCGTCGACAGCAAGTGGTAGTGCAAGGTAATATTAATTAAAATACCTATTTAGAACATATTCAGAACGTTTTTGACTTGACTTCCCCTTTAAAAATGATTTGTTTTTAATTTTTTAATTGGATCATTAAACTCAAGTATTTTTTTTCTTCATATAACATTTGAAATAAATGAAACTGAGCAGCACAGCGGTCGACTGATTAGCACGCCGGCCTCACAGTGCAGAAGTGCAGGGTTCGATTCCGGCTCCGGCCTTCCTGTGTGGATTTTGCATGTTCTCCCCGTGCCTGTGTAGGTTTCCTCCCACATTCCAAAAACATGCGTTGGGGATCAATGGAACAGCGTAAATTGTCCCTCGGTGTGAGTGTGAGTTGGTGTCCCCGCCTACTGCCTGAAGACAGCTAGGATACACTTCAGCACTTCAGCATGCCCACCACTCGTGTGAGGACAAGCGGATAAGAAAATGGATGGATGGATCGATGGATGAAACCATTGTTGCCATTTCTAATGATCACTGAGGCTTACTACACTAGAGTATTTTAATGTTGGTCATGATGGTCATACTTAGAGAATTAAGTACATGTATTTTCGTTTAGATGGTGCTTGGTGTAAATTTTGAGGAATCACCATTGGCATGTTAGTTGCTTTAAATAGTTTTAACCTGAAGTACACCAAAGAATGTTGCCAGGTTGATCAAAACATCATCTGTGCCGTTGAAGTTTGACCATGGAAACAAACTCACTTTACGTTATCGCTATAGGAAAGTTGTAAACAACATGGAAGTCAATGGATTGCGTTCAAGCGAGTCATCACATAGGTTATTTATATACGATTAACAATGAGTGTCTTATTTATTACATCCAGCTAGAACACGTAAGTACTCACCACAAAAATCCCACCAGCTCCAGTGCGAGCAGCAGATCGGTGAAAACCCCTCACCTGAGAAGCAGAGAACGAGCAACTAAGTTCTTGTTTCTTTCTAATAAACATTAACAGTAAAGATCCAGACTATACAGAGGGAGTCCCTTGCAAAACCGGCTAGCATGCTCACGTTAGCTGTTAGCTAAGAGGCCTTCCAGCGCTTTGCCCTTGTGAGGAGTCGTGCTATTTCAAAACAAACACGACAGTAAAATAGCAACAAATGCGCGTAAAGTGACAAAATGTTTATCTTACATACCGCCTGCGCCACCGCAGATCGAGCCAGAGAGGACAAATACATCCCGAGGATTTACCGTTGGGTCCCTATTGGGTCAGACGTACGGGACGACCGCAGGTCGAAACATGAGCGATTCGACGCTCGATTAACAAGGACTGACGTTAGCGTCTGAGGCCGATCTGCGCAGGCGCAGAGTTAACGAATGACCTTTGTACTGTAATGCTTTTATGTATAAAGCGTTATGTTGTGCGGGGGTGTTCACCCTATGATTATTTAAATAAAATGCTCATTTCTACATCTATCCATTTACCCATTTTCTAATTGGCTTATCCTCACGAGGGTTGTGGGCATGCTGGTGCCTATCCCAGCTGTCTTCGGGCAGTAGGTGGGCTACACCCCGAACTGGTTGCCAGCTAATTCCAGAGCAGATATATCAATTTAGAATGTTCTATTAGCCTGCCAGGGTGGCCCGGTGATCCAGTGGTCAGCACGTCAACCTCACAGTGCAGAGTTACTGGGTTCGATTCCCTTTCTGTGTGGAGTTTGCATGTTGTCCCGTGCCTGCGTGGGTTTTCTCCGGGTACCCCGGTTTCCTCCCACATTCCAAAAACATGCATGACAAGCTGATTGAACACTCAAAATTGCCCCTAGGTGTGAGTGTGAGCGTTCGTCTATGTGTACCCTGCAATTGGCTGGCAACCGGTTCAGGGTGTCCCCCGCCTACTGCCCGAAGACGGCTGGGACAGGCTCCAGCACCCCCCGTGACCCTTGTGAGGATAAAGTGGATCAGAAAATGGATGGATGGATGCATATTAGCCTGCGATGCACGTTTTTGGAATGTGGGAGTGAACCGGATTACCCGGAGAAAACCCACGCAGCCATGGGGAGAATATGCAAATCCTGCACCTCTGCACTGTGAGGTGGACGTGCTAGCAAGTCGTCCACTGCCTCGCCAGCAATGATACAGTATACAGTAAATTATTTACAATTTTACATCATATTTAATTGCCATTGTTTGATGTCAAACCGGGGGTCCTGCAACCTATATATTTGTTTGTAAAATGTATTGTAATTTATTGCATAATATATAAATTATACATTATGTTGAAGATATTTGATTTATCATTCTGCATACATTTAAATAAAATGAAAGTATTTCAGGGGCCCTGCACTGTACATTGTGCCTGGGCAGGAGCGAATTGAAATTAATTATTTTTCCAGCATTTTCGTCTCAATCAACATCATGAGACAGTTTCCGTTTGCATAAGTTTGGGGTGAGAAAGTTGAAAGAACCACCAGTGGGCGCCATTTTCCCTTGCGTTCATACCGAGACACACCCTTCCCCACAAGGAGGAGGAGGAGGAGAAAAAAAGAGGAGAGGTTTCACTCTGTGAGTCGAAAGGGCAGCTTCTTCTCCCAAAGTATTTCTTTGGAAATTACCGCTATATGGAAATCTGAATTTCAAGAATTGAGCTTCCCCTCTGCATGAGATAAATGGCCGCCTCAGGTAAGTATCACTTTAATGTCTTATCTAACACATGTTTGTAAAACATCCATATACAGTACACGTTACTGTTTCTTTAAGGATGATGGTGGGCAACCTAAAGCATGTGGACCACTGACAGGCCCGCTAGGCAATTCAAAAACTTCAGAGAAAGTGTTAAAATGTAATACAATGTCATAAAAGTATAAAAAAAATGTGGTTTCTGACAAGGTAAAGCTTACAAGGAGGGAATAGTGTATTTTAAACGCATGCATCGTTGTAATCATTTTTGACCTGCATTTTTAATCACGTCATAAAAACAAAGTTGCTTCTGACTACAAAGTGAAGTCACTAAGAGTAAAAATATTGGGGGTTTTAGTTAGATGCTCACATCATTCACCTTGATTTTCCAATGTGCTTAACCATGCTATAAACTCACAAATAAAGTTGCTTCTGACTACAAAATGAAGCTACTGAGGGCAAATCCGTTTCAAATATTTGCATCGTTCACATTGACATGCCTAGATAATCATGTCATAAAAACAAACTCGTTTCTGACTGCTGAGTGAAGCTAATAATGGCAAAATCGCATGTTTTAAACGCTTGGATTGTTAATCTTGATTTGCATACATGCTTCATGATGTCATTAAAAAAAACAACAACTATGTGTGATAGTTCGGGAGGTCTGACGAGGAGAACGGACGCATTGTTTTGCAGGAAAAGGG